ATGTGACCTGTCTAAGGTCACATAACCACAAATGTCCAGATTCATCCAGGTTACACTGACGGGTGAGTGTGGGCTTGTAACCACCAGACCTGCCGCCCCCCTGCCCCCAACGCTTCCCTGCAGAATGCCAGCATCAGAATCTGGAGGACCCCAACACCTTCCAGGGTGGCCTCCCACTTTCCTTTAGTGGGAAAAATCACGGGTGTGAGTACATGGGGAACTTGAAAACTTGGTTTGCTGTGGAAAACCCCCAGGTGAAACTGAACCACCACTTGGCCCAGGAGTTCCACCTTTAAGTGTACAACAAGGAGAATGATTCCGGGGTGCATCTGACACCCCTGAGTGGCAGCACGAAGGCCATGAGCGGGAGGAACTCAAATGTCTGTCAACTGCTAAATGGATAAACAGAGCGGGATATGCCCTTCTAAGGAATGTTAACACACCAAGAAAGGAATGACATATCAATACACTCTATAACATGAATGGATCTTTAAAAAATACTCTAAGTGAAAGAAGCGAGTCACAGAAAACTACAGATTGGCTAATTATATTTTATTAATTTCTGGAAGAGACAAGTATGCAGAGACAAGACTAGTCTCAGGGACAAGATTAAGGCTTCAGGGAGTCACAGTATATGTGGGATTTCAGCTTATTTGTTTGTTTCCCTGAGACAGGGTTTCTTTGTGTATCCCTGGCTGTCCTAGAATTCACTCTGTAAACCAGGCTGGCCTCTGGCTTCTGAGTGCTGGGATTAAAGGTGATTGCCACTACACCCAGCCTTAGGGATTTCTGTTTTTAAATATTTCTTAAAATCTTGTCATGGTGGCACAAGAGGATCTCTGGAGGTCTGAGGCCAGACTGGTCTCCATAGTGAGTGACAGGCCAGCCAAGAGAGACATTGTCTCAAAAAATCAGAAAGTTATGTTTGTGTGTGCTTGCCTGTGTGAGTATATGCATGTGTGTGTGCTTGCCTGTGTGAGTATATGCATGTGTGTGTGTGTGTTTGCCTGTGTGAGTATATGCATGTGTATGTGTTTGCCTGTGTGAGTATATGAATGTGTGTGTGTGTTTGCCTGTGTGAGTATATGCATGTGTGTGTGTGTTTGCCTGTGTGAGTATATGCATGTGTGTGTGCTTGCCTGTGTGAGTATATGTGCCCCACATGCATGTAATGACTGAGAAGGTCAGAAGGGGCATCGCATGTCCTTAAACCAGAGTTAAAGGTAGTTATGAGCTGACTTGTGGGATTCTGGGAATCACACCAGGTTCTGTAAAAGAACAGCCAGTGCCATTTAACCATAAAACCAACTCTCTAGTCCCAGGGTTTCTTTTCGGTTGATGGGGATGTTATGTAATTAACTAGAGGTGAGAGCTTCATAGCATAGTGACTATACTAAAATCTACTGAACTTTGTGAGCTTGAAGGTTGAAATTTATGCTGTGGGACAAGGGCCTTATTAGGGTCAGGTCCCAGAGGTCCTTCAGCCCTGAGCTATAGGTTCCAGGTCTTATATGTGGGCACAAGAAGCCACTGGAAGTTTATTTTTCAACATTCATTTTTCTAGAGATTTATTTAAGTATTTTTATATTATTTATGTGTGTGGGGGGGCTGGCTATGTGCATGTATGTGTACAGCAGTGACTGCAGAGACCAAAAGCGCTGGACTCCCCTGGAGCCGGAGTTATTGGCAGTTACGAGGCACTTGGTTTGGGTGCTGGGAGCTGAACTTGGGTCCTCTGCAAGAGCAGTATGTACTCAACCACTGAGCCACCTCTCCAGCCCCTTTGATTTTTAAATTATGTATTCGTGCGTGTGCATGCGTGTGTGTGTGCGTGTGCACTAGTGTGGACGCTGGGGACTAAACCAGGTCCTCTGTAAGAACACTACACAATCACACAACGGTAACCACAGAGACAACTCTCCAGTCCCTCCACTGGAAGTTTCTAAGGAGGGCGGTGACTTGATTGGCCTCATGTACTCCTAGAACGTGTTCAGCGTGTATTACTAAATGTCAGCTCCTTTCTGTCCCCTCATCCCTCAGTCCAAGAGCAAGCCTCCATTTCTCTTGTGGAAACATATATTTACCTTGTCATTTGAACTCTAGTGGGAAGTCCAATTGTTTTAGATAAAACCGCCCTTTTTAAAGACAAGGTCTTGCTGTATAACCCAGGCTGGCTTGCAACTCAAGTGCTTCAGTCTCACAAGTGCTGGAATTATAGCTGTGTGCCTCTGTGTCCCACTGAAGGGCCCAGGCCCTCAGGATGTACGCCCCTGCCTCAGCAGGATGGGCTGTGCCCATGATCTTACCGTAATTACTGGGAAGAAACTGCCAGATATCCTGTATATATGGTAATGGACCAATCAGAAGTGAGCTGACTGCTTTCCTGATAAGGATGGAATGCAGTAACCATAGCAGCAGCCTTCGGCTGGGAGATGTCCCAGTTGCCCTGCGGGTGGGTCGAGAGACCCTTTGGGGGGTGGGGGGGGCGGTGTTTGGATCCCCCTAGTTCCTCTGGAGAGACTGAGTGGGTTGCAATCGCAAAACCATTAGTCCGGCGTCTCATTTTTGGATCTGTGTACAGCCATCTATCTTGTTTGTTACTGGGTGTGTGTGTGTGTGTGTGTTTCTTGTTGTGTTTGTCCCTCTGGTTTGGTGGTTTGAATGCTGGATCATGGGCCAAGCTCCTCGTCACCCCACCATGTTGAGTGTCTGAGCAGAGAACCTGGGGTTAATTGCTATGGTCGGAGAAGTTAATAATCTGCTGCCACGCTATGCCACCCTCTCCCATGCTGCTGCCACGCTATGCCTCCCTCTCCCATGCTGGTGGATGCGGTTCCCACAGGCTGCCCTGAGGACTGGCCCCCCTCAACTTCTGGCCAAACTGATGGGGGATGTCCTTCATTATGCTGTGAATATAAGTTTCTCTCATTGGCTGATGAATAAAGCTGTTTTGGACAATGGACAGGCAGGAAGAACGCTAGGAGAAAGCTGGGAAGAAGAATGCAGAGAGTGAGTTGAGAGGCAGACGCCATGTAGCTGCCAAGAAAGCAAGAACCTGGGGCATCACCAGTAAGCCAAGGCCATGTAGATACACAGATTAATAGTTATGGGTCAATGATTAAGAGAGAGCTGGCCAATAGGAAGCCTGAGCCATCAGCCAAATCGTTTGAAATTAATATAAGCCTCTGTGTGTTTATTTGGGACTAAAGGGCTGCAGGACCAGGTGGGACAGAAACTTCTGTCTACACCAAACAGGTTTGGCTCCATGGCTCAGGGCTAAGCTATGGCAGTGTGGTGATGCAGTAGCCAGACTTCTGTCCACCAGGGCTGCTCTGGTCATTCAGATGCACGGGGTTATAAATATCTGTCATCATTTAGAAGGGTTGCTTACAAATTATTATTAATTAGGTTAAGAAAATACTGTTAGTCTCAGATGCTTCATTCTGGCACAGGTTTTTATGTGTTGATGCAAATTTAGAGTTATTGAAACCACAAGAAAGACTTTGGTAAAAGTTTTTATGTTGTCTGGAAAGCAAAGGAGGAGGCAGGAGACTAAAACAATAGAGGGAACAGGAAAGAGGAATCCTGTAAAAAACTGCCCGGGGAACCAGACGAATGGGCTGAAGGTATAGAAAAAGTTGTAGAAGGCCAGAGGGATGTGATCTATGTTTGCTGTGGTTTCTCATACCTGCAAATACTGAATTCAAAAAGAAACCATAAAATAAGCTGAAAATTTGACCAGATTAGGTTGATTCCCGTTAAAAAGCTTTGTTTTTCTTGTTGAAAAGTTTTGTCTGTTTCTCGAGAAGGTTGTGTATGCTTGTTTTGTTGGGAGTTTTGTCGGTGTTTTCTGGTGTGTTCATAAGTGTTGTTGCAAGCATGGAGCTGGACAGAAATGGTTTGGGAAACTGTCTTATGCTGTTCTTTCCTGGAAAGCTGGTTCTTCCTTCACTGGACCCAGGCTTATTTAAAATTTTCCTTATTTAAAAGTTCCTACGCAACTTGCAGACCTCCAGATAACCCCCTTGCTCTACCCCTAATAAATGTCCTGCCCCACTGCAGCTCGGGGTCTCTCCTGCATCAGACGGATGAGAGACCCGAGTTTGAACTTGTAATTACAAAGACTCTTTGCTTCTGCTTTGAATGTGGTCTCTGGGTGGTCTTCGGGGGTCCAGACTCTGGGCCCAACACAGCCTCTCTCACTATGACCCCTCCCACCCAGGCTAGGTTCTCCTGAGCGCCTGTAGCCACTTGACGAACAAGTTCGCCTCCGTTTCCTTAGCAACCGCTTCCTCCATTCCTTTTCCTCCTCCTGCCCTCCCTCCTCCTCCCCTCCTCCCCTCCCTCCTCCTTCCCTCCTCCTCTCCCTCCTCCCCTCCCTCCTCCTTCCCTCCTCCTCTCCCTCCTCCCCTCCCTCCTCCTTCCCTCCCTCCTCCCCTCTCTAGTCTCCTCCTCATCTTTGCTTTTCTTCACCCTCCCTTTCTTCCTTTTCTTCCACTTCCTTTTTTTCACTCAATTTAATATTTTTCTAAAAGTCATCAGGGGTCCTCACTTTGCCAGTTCTCACTGGAGCCTGTGAACGCCCCACTGCCCTTCCCTTCCACCCCGCCCTGTCTTCCCTTCCTCCCGTCTCAGGCACACAGAACAGACAGCGCAGCGTCTCCTGCTGATCACAGCCAGAGCCTTCTCATTTGCAGGGCGGCCGGGCGGGCGTCCCACAACAGCGGAGAGACTGATCCCTGCGTCCCTTAGGAGGCTGCGCAGGGCTCTCCACGGGCCACCTCCACTCTAGCTTCAAGAGGCATGTCTTTCTGTTTTTATGGCTTGTGGCAAAAGCACTGTTTAGTTTGGACTCACCCGTTAAGTCTCCAAAATTTTAAGGACACCTCAAAAGCTTTGGCATGGATAGAGGACTGTGTTAAGTGACCAAATCTTTTCCCTAAAATCGTTTAGGAAATGTCCTAACGGTAGACAGCTGATTCCAAGAAACCCTTTAAAGTGGCGACTGGGGCTCTGGGGATTTTGAGAGCAGTGAGGATGAACCGCCCCTCACAGCCGCGTGGGGATTTCCCAGGAGGCCCTGCTCAGTTGAGTCACCCAAGTCCTGTGTTTGACCTGTGGTCTTCTGGAGCGGCAGAACCTCGCTGAGCTTCTGGAGGAGGAGAAGGTTTTCTGCTGCCCTGAGATCACAGGTTTGTCTACTCGGGACTGGTGGGGGGCTAGAGAAGTAAGGATGGACTGTGTTCGCTACTGAGTTCTAGACTTTTCTCCTCTTGTAATTTATAACTTCTCCTAGCCCACCATATAAAGACCCAGAAAAACGTAGTTGGTCCAAACCTCAGCTTTTCTTTTCAAGAGAGGATCTCAGGTAGCTCAGTCTAGTTTTAAGCTCTCTCTATAGCCAAGGATGATCCTGCATTTCTTGTTCTCTTCTGTCTCCTGGATGCTGGGATTACAGATGTGAACCACTGAGCCTGACTGAGTGCTGGGGATGGAACCCGGGCGGGGTTTCACGAATGCCACACAATCAATCACTCCAGCAACTGAGCATCATCCCTAGCCCCAGGATTTTTTAGCTGCAGTTTTTATTTGGTCTTTCTTTCTTTCTTTCTTTCTTTCTTTCTTTCTTTTTTTTTTCAAGCTTCAAATCTCAAAATTGGCAACTGCAGGTCTGTGCTTTAGAAACTCCCCACTTTCTTTCTTTCTTTCTTTCTTTCTTTCTTTCTTTCTTTCTTTTCAAGCTTCAAATCTCAAGTGCAGGTCTGTGCTTTAGAAACTCCCCGATAGCAAATTTTAGCAGAGGTCTTTCAAAATTGGAGCAATTAAATTTCCAAAGAAGGCAGAGCAACAACTATGGGTTCCCTGTCACTGAGGGCACTCGTTATCGGAACTTTGCTTCAAGGGCAGCATGGCTGCAATATGGATCGATGCCCATGCCTAGAATCTGAAAGTCCCTAATGTTCCTGCTCTCACTTCATCCTGGGCTTTGACAGACACGCACAAAGCCAGTGGCTGTTGTAGAACGGACTCTCTGGGGATTGACTATGTTTCCATAATATCCCAGGCTTTTTTAAAAAGTAGACTTTTACATTTTAAGTTGTGTGTGTGTGTTGGTATGTGGGAATGTACACTGGAGTGCTTATGGTCAGAGGCATAGGATCCCCTGGAGTAGGAGTTACAGGCAGTTGTGAGCCACCCGACATGGGTGTTGGGAACCAAACCTGGGTCCTCTACAAGAGCAGTGTGTGCCCTCAACCGTTGAATGGTCTCTCCAGCCCCAATATTCCAGTCTTAATTCTCCTTAAAACCCTGCAGAACTGCTTAAGTATTGATGGCAATGTAGATAGTTCCGGAAGGAAAACCCTTCACGCTGCTTATATTTTGCAGAATGACATCTGTTAAAGATAGGGTCTCAAGTAGTTCAGGCTGGCCTGGAACTTACTTTGCAGTTGAGGATAACCTTGAACTCCTTCCTGCCCCATCGCTTGGATGCTGGGATTACAGGCATGGACCACCACTATGGTTTCCGAAGTACTGGTACATGTTAAGCAAGCACTCTACCAACTGAGCTACACAGCCAACCAGAGGGCAGCCCATCTGACTGAAATTCTTTTGGAATCTCCTTTGCTAGTGTCGTATGCATGCGAGACTTTGCCATGGGGAATGGCTGTTACAACATGGTGGTGACTGTGCTGTTGGTGGTGGGCGCTGAAAAGACAAGAGCCCTGCGTGATTCCTGTGAGGAGTGTGAAGCCGGTGAGTCCCTCACTGACGGGCACATTTTCCGCCTGTTGAAAAGCCAGTTCAGTGAGCCTGGCTAGAAGACCACTCATTCCCTTGCAAAGGCTTGTTGGATACAACGAAGTGGCGGTGGGGAGCCGGCTGGCTCACTTAATCTCGGCACCTCAGCACAATCAGAGAAGCTGTCTCAGGGGTGCTTGGAAGGTCCCAGGACAGTCTCAGAACAGCACTGGGTAATTGTAGCTGTGTATACAAGGTGCACTCTGCAGCAAAGGACAAGCAGGTGGCAGCGTTGCTCTTCTCTTGGGTCCCAGCCTGTTGCTCTGATCTCCTCCCAGAGGGGAGCAACAGATTCACGGTTTTCTTCTCTTGATCTCTTTGTTACTAGCGTTTACATGCTGTTAGTGCTAGCTGGTTATGCCAAGTGTCACCCTGCAAACATATAGTCTTAAATGCCAATCTTAAATGTCTATTGCCATGATGTGGAGAGGACAAATGGAGCATTTATACTGATTTCTTTGTAAAGATCACAATGCTTTGAGTGATGGTCGAGTGTTGTTACAATGTCATGTGTTGTCAGACGTGGATGCCCATGACTTAAGTGATGTCTCGTGTTGTCAGACACGGACACCCATGATGCCTTTCAGGTACCTTCTGCAAGAAAGAAAATCCGGTTTGTACCAGCTGTCCTCCAAGCACCTACTCCAGCAAGGGTGGACAGCCATACTGCAACATCTGCAGAGTGTGTGAAGGTGAGTCTGTCTGTCTGTCCGCTTTGAAACAGGATCTTGCCATTGCCCCAGCTGAACTGGAATCTGTGATCTTCAGGCTCCCCAGTCTTGGAGGTCTGCTTCAAACTGAGTCAGCTCTGTCTTTAGAATTGCTGGGGAGAGACCAGGTTTAGTAACCTTTTTACTAATGGGTCTCTATTTAAAATCTTGAGCCTCACAGGGGTGCTGACTCCTCTGTCCACAGCAGGTGTAGTCGAATTATTTCATGGAATAGCTATTACCACAGCTCAGGGATTGAGGGGGATCCCTCATCAACCTGATCATTCAACCTGACTTTTCTATCTAAGGGAGTGAAACATAACTCCCTGGGGCTGGTGATAGGGGCTAAACTTAACTCCTTGGGGCTGTTGAAAAAGGGAAACACACACACACACACACACACACACACACACACACACACACACACACACCCACACACACACACACACACACACACCCCTACCTCTTTAGGGTCTCTCCATCATTTTTTTCTCTGTTATTTCTTTTCTTACTCCTGTCCAGATGCATCCCTTCTGTCTCTCTGGATGTCTTCCTTTTAACTTCTCCCTTACAGCTTATATACCCTACTCCAGCAAAACCTTTCAGGCAGTACAGAGATTATGAGGCTGCTTACTATTTTAAGTGAATGATTACACTGAATACAAGTGAAAAACAGCATGCTTTCCATATCCTTTACATGATTTTTTTTTCAAGACAGGGTTTCTCTGTGTAGCTTTGGAGGCTGTCCTGGAACCCTCACTGTAGACCAGGCTGGCCTCGAACTCACAGAGATCCTCTGCCTCCTGAGTGCTGGGATTAAAGGCGTGCACCACCACCACTACCAGCTTGTTATAGATTAACAGAGTGTAATCAAACAAGCTGTTTTTCTGTCAATTCTTGGGCTAGCAAGCTGTATTTTGCAGTTACAGAGAAAGGACCAATTATTTTATTTTATTTTTATCTCAAAAGGCAATCTCTTAAGAAATCTTAGAAGAATTATAAATCTAAATTTTTATGTGAAAAAGAATCAGTCAGCTCTTTTTTAAATCCTCAGGGTGCATTGCTCATTCATCAGCAGGTTTTTGTTTTGTTTTGTTTTTTGTTTTGTTTTTTTTATGTCAGGAAGCTGAGGGCGGAAATGAATGCAAGGAATCAATCATCCCCCTGATCACCAACCCACCCTAGCAGCAAAGGTGCATGGTCAGTCATCAATAGCCAGACTGTCATTGTTCTTGTTCCCTGACCTCAACGAGTCCCTCACTCAACTATCAAAAGTCTACCTTTTAAAATTGTTTCCTAAGATTTTTGTAACCTCAAAGCCACTAACAAAATCATCTTAACCTAACCTTAAGTCATTATTTAAAGCTTTGTTTCAGCTCTGATGCACACTGAAACCCGTGAACACATCTCTCAACATTAAGATGAAAAGAACTTGAGCTAGCTTAGCTTTTGCGACTCAATTGTTTTCCTTAATCATTAATCTAAGCCACAGAGCCATATGGTTCCTCAAGAGAAACTGTGTGACACTTCCCCGTTCTAATTTTCTATCCTCTGTAGCTAGCCCCAGCTTTATCAGGGGCAGAGGCAACACCATACCCTGCTTTCACCTATATTAGTTTTCCCATTAAACTAAAGTCTGTCATAATCCCTTAGTACATTTATTCGAGACCTTCAATTGTCCAAATACTATTTAAACTAACACTATTGTTATATTAAACCATTGCTTCAGTTAAACAGTACAGCTTAGGAAGAAATCATCTTCATGATGATCCATGGGTAAAAATGCCCAGTAGATCGGGATATTTCCCTGGGATAACCACACCACATTAAGGGCAGTGGGGGGTCTTGCCAAGCCCATTCACACCATGCCAGCCACCAGAGAAAAATGTCAGTGGCAAGCATGTAAAGACACAGCAGCAGCCGAGACATTCTGGGGCCGAGGCTCTCTGGGCCTCGCCTATCCGAGATCCACCCATCAGTGCCTTGCGTGCCGGTGGGCCAGTCCTCTGAAGTCAATTCCTACCTGCTGTCCCTCTGACACGGCCACCAGTAAGCTATCATCTTAGCTGAATTTTTTAAATAATTGAGAAAATACTCATTTGACACGAGAGGCTTGTGTTGTGTTCACGAAAAGACAGTAAATAGGTGAATACTACATTTCTAAAGTTATAATGTTGTCACTAACATAATAAGAAGAGCAATGGATACATATATGCACACATATGTCCATACATACATATAGACCCCCACACATATACATATATATATACACACACACATATTAAATGTGTGTATAATGCAGAATACGCATTTGTTTCTTGATTCGGAGGTCAAGGGTAACACAGAGCTGGGGCTTTGTAGGTTATTTCAGGTTCAAGAAGCCTTGCTCCCCGACCAGCAACGCAGAGTGTGAGTGCACAGAGGGACTCCACTGCTTGGGACCAAAGTGTGCCTGGTGCGAAAAGGACTGCAAGCCGGGTCAAGAGTTAACAAATCAGGGTAGGTTTGCTCTTTCTCCACCCAGCCCGAGTTTGTGATGGAGATGCGTTTCTTATGGTTTGAGAACCTTAACAGAGATGCAGTATGGGGGCTAATACCATGTTTTAACTATATTCCACTATATATTCTTTTGCGTTTCTATAAATGAACGTGATTAGAAGCCAGGACATTTTGTTAATCATCAGAGTCATGCGTTTTCACACACTTTAGATATACACAATATTCCTCATATGATCAGATTGAAAAGGAGCAATCTCAGTGTTTTAATTCAGTAATCACTAAGCTGGGGCTGGAGAGATGGCTCAGTGACTACTGTTCTTACAGAGGACTCAAGTTCAGTTCCCAGCACCCGTATCAGGAAGCTCACAATGGACTGTAACTCCAGCTCGGGGGAATCTGATGCCCTCTCCTGGCCTCTGCAGGCACGTGCACATACAGATACATGCATATATACACGTGAATAAAAAATTATATCTTTAAAATGCTCATGAAGCAATTTGCAGAGGTTAACCTAAGACACCAAGCCATTTGTATATCACAAGGAAAGTTTTAAAATGGTAAAAAGCCTTCTATTGATTCTTAACTTGTCTTCAAGGTTGTAAAAACTGTGACTTTGGGACATTCAATGATCAGAGTGGTGGTGGCACCTGCCGACCCTGGACAAAGTACGTATATATTCTCTTTTCTGTCATAACATGAAGAGCCTAAGGTAAACTGAAAAAACGAATTGAAAAAAGGACACTGTCACTGGAGTGCAGATCTGCAGTGACACACCTTATGTGACAGGGGAACTCTGTGAGGTCACAGAGTCTTGTATGAATGTGGGCATTCCTAAGAAAACAAGCCAGTGTGTAGCGAGCAGATCTGGGGTGGAGCTTGCTGCCCTCTCCCTTGACGGGTCTTCAGTTCTGTTTCTTTCTGGTCTCTGGATCGCTACGTTCCCTGACAGGCTGGCCCATATCGAGTGTTTGGGGTCATCACTGAGTGTGACACAGAAGAGTGAAGCCTTCTGTCTTTCCAGCATCACACACACACACACACACACACACACACACACACACACACACGGTGTGCCAGCCACTGGAGAGACACAGCCAGCAGCCAAGGTCCAAATGTGCTCCTGGACTTGCACGGTTGGCACTGGCCCAGTGAGGTTTGCTGGTGCCCAGGACAACCGTGGGCGTGGAACACGCTGGCTCGGAGACTGTGAGGGAAAAGTGGCTGCTGACTCTGATGATAGAAATCACAGTTTTAGTGCCTGTCATCTCTTCCTGCTTGATTTCCTTTGGTAGAAAGTGAGTTTTATTGTTACTTTGGTTACATATTTGTAATGTTTCACAAACGTACTGGTGGATAACAGACTAGAATGTTTTGAAAGTGGGAACAGGGCTCTAAAGAAGAAGAAGACGTCTATGTAAGGACGGTGATAGGGATAGGATATGATGGCGGTGATGACAATGGTGACGATAGTGAGGATGGTGACAGTGATAGGGATAGGATATGATGGTGGTGATGACAATGGTGACGATAGTGAGGATGGTGACGGTGGTGATGACGTCACTGAAGATGATGGCAACAATTGTTATTCATTAAGTGTGTTTAGCATGTGAGATTGTATCCCTGGGACTCATTAATTTGCTTTAACCCCAGTCTAGGGAGCACAGGCTCCCCCTCTTTTAAGCTGCTGAACAAACCAAGGCTTACGTGGGCTTTCCAAACTTGCTGATGGTCACTCTGTAAAGTGGTCGACCCAAGGGTCATCCCTGATTTGTCCGATGTTGTTGCTGGAAGCCCTATTTATGCTCCGCATGTGGCCAAGTCAGTCAAAGGAGCAAGAACTCAGGGCAGGGTCGGGGGGGGGGGGACCAGGCAAAGCATGTTGAGCCACATTGGCTGAACTACACTGTCGTGGTATAAGACAGAGTGCACATGGCTCCTCAACCCGGGGAGAGAAGAGCCTGGTGAATGGGTGGGAGGGGGTAAGGCCACGGTACCTTGAAAGCAGAGGGAAGTGGTGGAGGCCAGAGAGTCACACAGGACTTTCTCACGTGCTCTGCCCATTGCTTGTGAGCCCGAGCCCACCTACTGCATCACTCGGTAACTTCATGGGGTAACAAGTGTCAGGCGCTTCATCCTGTCCTCCAGTCCTAAATTAATCATCTGAACTCTTTCTCTTGACCTGTCTAAGCTGCTCTCTGGACGGAAAACTTGAGCTTAAGAAGGGGACCAAAGAGACGGATGTGGTCTGTGGACCCACTCCAGTCAGCTTCTCTCCGGGTACCCCTACCACCACGGTGCCTGTCTCGGTGAGAAAACCAGGTGGTTGTTTTATTGCTATTAAATAAACATTTCTGTTGCTATTAAGTAAGATATGGTGGCGCACAACTAGAATCACAGCACTACAGAGGCTGAGTCAGGAGGTCGGCAAGTTCCAGGCTAGCCTGGGCTATGTAGTAAGACTCCTTGAAAAATCTTATCCAAACAAATGCTTGATGGCTATTCAGACTGTATGGGATGCTCTCAGCACTGCTGGGGCTCCCAGCTCTGCCCACGGCAGGCAGCTCTGCCTTGTTTTCCTGGGTGTTGTCACTCAATCGGTAGTCAGTAATGGTGACCCTCATCCCAAACAGATAACCTACCCTGACTAAGGCCGAGTCCAGGGAACTAAAGGGCCTTATGCTTTCTCCAAGCTCAGTAAGTAGTTTAGGCTGCTTAGCTTCTGTCTGTTTCTGGGAAAATCACTAAATTTGGGTTCCGTTTTAAAAGTCACTTAGGTTTGGGACTTGGAATGTGACTCAGTGGGTAGAGCTCTTGCCTCACATGTTGGAAAGGCCCTGGATTCCATACCCAGAACTGTATGAATTTGAGCATGGTGCTTTATACCTGCAGTCCCCACTCTGGTGGTAGAGCAGGAGGATCAGGAGATCCTCAGGTACATATGGAGTTTGAGGCTAGCCCGGGATACATGAGACCCTGTCTCAAAAACAAAACAGAACAAACAAACAAAAGTCATTAAAGTCATCTAGCCTTGTTAAGTTATGGGTTAGGGGTGCCCAGGGTGCTGCCTCCCTGGAGCCCCTGTCTTTTGGGGGGCGGTGTTCAGGTCAAGTTTGTCCTTACTAAACACTATGCATGTCTCTCCTTGCCCTAGAAGGAGGGCAACCCCTACAGGTGCTCACCTTGTTGCTGGCGCTGACATCGGCCATGCTGCTGTTCCTGCTCTTCGTCATCCTCGGGCTCTTGGTGGTCAAATGGGGTAGAAGGAGGTTCCCCTACGTGCTCAAGCAACGTAAGGCCCACAGAGCGAGGGGAGTGGGGGAGGCAGACACACGTCTGGAGTCAGGACAACTTTGCAGAGTGGGTTCTCTCCTGTCTCAGGGGCGAACTCAGGGCCTCAGGCTTGCGTGGGAGGGGTCTTCACTCACCTGGCCTCTTGAGGGCTTGGATCTTTTTTTGTAAGTTATGGGCACACAATTGGCTATCACGATGGTTGCAGAGCCAGGACAAGCTCGATCCCACAGGATATTGTCTGGAGGCAGCTGGGGTGGCTGCGACTACTTGGTGCTGGGAGGCATGTATAGTTATGACTTGGAGTAGGGGGCGGGGAGGCTCTCCACCCCCACAAGGCACAGGGAGAGCCCCCTGGGCACGAGAATTGGGCTCCGTGTGTCACTAGGGAAGAGATGGAGAAAGAACAGGACCCAGAGTGTGGGGAAAACAACAGACATGTATGCCACAGGCCCAGATAAACTGTGGTGCACCTGTAAGTGTGGGCACCCAGTCAGCCTGTGCCCACAGCACACAGGAACCAGAAGAGAACATTTACCTCAGAAGCTGGGGAGACAGCTCAGTTTGTGAAGACTTTGTTTTGCAAGCACAAAGATATGCTAATACCCAGATCCATGTAAAATAGCAGTGGTGTGTGCTTGTAATCCCGATGCAGTGACAGATAGTGACAGGAGTGACAGGCAGATCCCAGGGGCTTGATAACCAGTCAGCCTTACCTAGCTGATAAACTCTAGGCCAGTGAGAGACCCTGTCTCACAAAAAAAGCAAGAAAGCAAACAAAGGCAGACCTCTGACCTCTATACACACACAATAAATACCCTTGGCCTTAGCTCTGGTCTATTCTTGAGGGGAGAACTGGATGGTGTTGAGGTGGGGGTAAGGCAGACTACTACAGAGAGAAGGAAAATCCCAAAGGCAGATTTCATCCACTAATAAACTAAATAAAAAGATTCTATGAGGAGGCCAGGTGGTGGTGGCGCACGCCTTTAATCCCAGAGGTCAGGAGGCAGAGGCAGGTGGATCTCCGTGAATTCAAGGCCAGCCTGGTCTCCAGAGCAAGACCTTGTTTTAAAATGAGAAAGAAAGGAGGGAAGGAAGGAAGGAAGGAAGAAAAAGAGAGAGAGATACGGGGGGGGGGAGACAGAGACAGAGAGACAGAGAGACAGAGAGACAGAGAGACAGAGAGACAGAGAGACAGAGAGACAGAGAGACAGAGAGACAGAGAGACAGAGAGAGGATTCACCCACAGGTTGAGTTCCAGTCCCAGCCTTCTACATTCTTTATCAAATGGCTCTGTTCTGTGAGTATTTGTGTATGGCGTGTGTATGTGCATATGTGTTCGTGTTTGCCTGTGTAGGTGTGCACATGTTCATATGTAGACACCAAGGCTGGTGTCAGGCAACTTTCTAGATCACCCTCCACTTGGTCCTCTCAGTGGAACCCAAAGCTGATCATAGACGCTCTAGCCAGTTTACCTCAGGGATCCTGTCTCTGCCTTCCAGGGTCACAGTGACTACCACCCTGCCTTTATATGGTACTGGGGATCTGAACTCTGCTCTTCATGCTCTCAGGGAAGGAGCTCTAATTACCTCAGGCTCAGGGCAAGGAGCACCAGTTACCTCAGGCTCAGGGCAAGGAGCACTAGTTACAGAACCATTTCCCAAGCTTTGCTTCTTGTTTTTTAACCTAGGGGAAAAGATGAGGAAATAAGTAACTTGAGCCCTGTCCAAGTAGGTAGGTCAAACTGTTTTCCAGAAATAATGAGGACCACATTGAACGCCTCTTCAGTGGGGTGCAAAGTGGGGTGCCCCACTTCCGTGTGATGCTGGGTGTAGCGGCACTATTTTTATCTGTCTGGTGGGTGGGGAATAGTGGCTCATTGTGGTTTTGATTTACAGTTCCTTGATGATGTTTGAGGTTAGATGGCTTTTCGCTTTGATTGGCTGTTTGGATTTCTTACTCTGAGAAGTCTTCCCACAGGGCCTTCTGTCCTCTCCTTATCAATGAAGGAGACTCTTGTTTTCTGTGGCCTTTCCCCCTACATCCCAGGCCTCTACCTCTGGAGGAGATCTTTAAGCTTCCTCCCAGAGTGGCAGCAAGGTTCCTGTGAATGTGTTTTCAAAGGTGTTAATCAGTAACGAGTGACTTGGAGTCATTAAAAAAAAAGAAAACTTTTTCACTTTTATATAATTACCCATTCATAGAAAGTCACAAACAAGGAGCAGAACAGTATCACGTGCCATTCACAAGATTCTACCATCATCACACGGAGGCCAGGACAACGGTGCACAGAGCACACATAGCTAGCTGTACGTCATTCTATCAGATCTATAGATTCATGTACAGAAATACAGAGCTTGTAAGGTGGGGTGTGGAGAGCTTGCCTGGAGCCCCAGCGTGTGGGAGACTGAAGCAGGAGGCTCTCAAGTTTAAGGCCATAGGTTGCACGACTCAGTGAAAAACAAGCAAACAAGAAGAACCCAAACTATCCACAACCAGAGTTCAGCCCTGCTGGCCCTTCTTAGTCAGCCCTGCTGGCCCTTCTCAGCCCTGCTGGCCCTTCTCAGTCAGCCCTGCTGGGCCTTCTCAGTCAGCCCTGCTGGCCCTTCTCAGCCCTGCTGGCCCTTCTCAGTCAGCCCTGCTGGCCCTTCTCAGTCCTTCTCATTGCCTGGCAGCCACTCATCTATTTCTGACTTTTGACTCTTGGTTAGTTTTTTAAAATGTATTTATTATTTTATGTTTTGTGTGTCTGCTTCCGTGATTTTTACGTGCATCACTTGCAGGTAGGAACCCATGGAGGCCAGATCCCCTGGAACTGGACTTAAAGGCTGTTGTGAGTCACCACATGGGTGCTGGGAACTGAACTAGGGTCCTCTGCAAGAATGACAAATGCTCTTAACTACTGAACCATCTCTCCAGCCCATTTTTGTTTTTGTTTTTGTTTTTGTTTTCCTCTTACATGTTAAAAAGAAACCTACGGATACTAACATGTAGGTTTCATGAGAACGTAAGTTCTTGTGTCTCTTAAGAGAAATGCAATTGTAGGGTTATGTTTTAGTTTTTAAGTTTATTTTTATTTATTTTGTGTGTGTGCACATGCCACCTTGAGCATGTTGAGGTCAGAAACAACCTGCAGAAGTAAATTCTCCTCTTCCCCTTGGTCAAGGTAGTCTCTCTTGTGTAACACACACACACACACACACACACACACACACACACACACACACACAAACAAAAAAAAACCAGAGACAGAGATTGGGGTTCAAGCTTCAAGCTGAAGATGAGAGAAGCAAAGCAGCCAGGTACTATCCCTCACCTCTACCTCAGCTCGGACCAAAGGGACGATCCTCAAACTGTTCCCACTGCTCTTGGGATTCACTCAGACTGCTCTGCTCTCCTCAATGTGGCTATAATCTCAGACTGAATGTCTCTACTTTTTATACCTCTCAAATCCCAGGATTAAAGGCGTGAGCTCTGATTCACTGTGGTCTTGGACTCAGAGATCCATCTGCCTTTCTCTGGAGTCCTGGGATTAAAATTGTGTGTCACCACCACCTGGTCTCTATAGCTTGAGGCTGGCTTTGCTTTCTGAATCCTCAGACAAGCTTTAATAAATCATAAACAATATATCACCACGCTCTTGTTTCTGCCAAGCTGTGTAGACTGGCTGGCCCTCGAGCTTCCCCACCGCCATCCTCTCCATCCTTCACCCAGCTTGCTGTAGGAGTTCAGCATTGCAGATGCTTGCCTCTGCATTTGGCTTAAAAGTGTGCGTGCGTGCGTGCGCATGTTCGTGCGTGTGTTCGTGCGTGTGTGTTTGCGCGTAAGTGTGCGTGCGTGCGTGCGCATGTTCGTGCGTGTGTTCGTGCGTGTGTATTTTCGCGTGTGTGTGTGCTTGCGCGTGTGCGTGTGCGTGTGTTTGCGTGTGTGGTGTGTGTGTGTGTGTGTGTGTGTGTGTGTGTGTGTGTGTGGTCACATGCAAGTGCATGTGTGTAGGTCAGAGGAGCCCCCGTGAAGGTAGGTACTTTCCTTTCTACCTCGTGGGTCCCCGGGGTCAAACTCAAGCTGTCAAATGTGTGTAGCAAGTGCTTTTACTTCCGGAGCTGCCTCCCCAGCCCACATCCAGGGACCCTTCACTACAGCCTCGCTCTGAAAGGTTAAGCCCTTTCCCCATTGTTGGTGTCTGAATGTTTCACACTTTTGAATTTGACATTTAAAGCTGTGTTAGCGAGATTTAAAGTGTGAGAAGATTTTTTCCTTCAGGAGGGTGGGGAGTTGTGTGTGCCCAGTTGTTCCAGTGTCACTCAAAGAAAACACTGCCTCCACTCCTCTGTCTACCCCTGATCATTGGCTGTGCGTGTGGGGGAGCAGAGACCGACCCTCCTGTTACAGCTGTGAGTCTCTTGCAGCACTGTGGAGGCGTGGTTACTGTGGTTATAAAATCAGTCTGGAAACTGAGTAGAGTTGGGACACGCCCTCCCACTCTGTCTTTCTTTTCCACGTTTGCTGTAGCTCTTTATCCTGTTTAATATTTCCATGTAAACCTTAGGAGACTCTTATCTGTGCCCACAGAAAGCCAGCTGGGGTCCTGACAGGGCTTGCAAGAAGTCTATGAGACCTTGGCAGGAAATCTGGGTTAGCGATCCCAAATGTGAACACAGTGTGACTTTCCACGGTTAGCGATCCCAAAGGTGGACACAGTGTGACTTTCCATTTATACTGTCTCTCACCTTACCACTATTTTAATTCAAAATGTAGTCCTGTATGCATTTTTTAGATTCATGCCTGAGTATCCCACCCCATCCCCCACTTGTGTGTGTGTGTCTGTGTGGTGCATGTGTTTGTGTATTTTTGCACACACGTGGCCACACCTGTGTGTATGAATGTGTATGCGGAGGCTGCATGTTGGTGTTAGGAATCATCTTTGATTGCTTTCCCACCTTTTTCATTGAGGCAGGGTCTGCCAATCAAACTCAGAACTCACAATATGGCTAGCCTGGCTGGCCAGCTTGCTCTGGGGATCTGGGCTCATCTCTCTGTTTCCCCAAAGAGGCTAGAATTACAGCCAGGCTGTCACACATACTTGGCCATTTTGTGGGATCCTAGGGAGCCAAACCCCAGTCCTTACCAGGGGTGGCCAGTGCTTTAATCACTGAGCAGTCTGTCTCCTCAGTCTTTCCTTGTCAGGAAGTGGGCACACCCCTTTAATCCCAACACTCAGGAGGCTGAGGCAGACAGATCTCTGTGAGTTCGAGGCCAGCCTGGTTCATAGAGCAATTTTCAGGAAAACCAGAACTGCACAAAGAAATCCTGTCTTAATACAAACAAACAAACAAACAAACAAAACAAAACAAAACAAAACAAAACACAAACAAAAAACCCCAAACTTTTCTTAAATCACGTTTTTCTTTTTTATGGATACATGCTCATGTAAGTGCCATGTGTGTGCATTGTGTGTCTCAAAGGACAAAGGTGACAGAACCTGACCTGGAGCTGGAGTTACAGGTGGTTGTGAGCTCCCTGACATGGATGCTGGGAACTGAACTTGGGTCCCCCCTCTGTAAGAGCAGCAAGCTCTCTTAACCACTGAGCCTTCTATGCCACCCAGTTCTTTCCTTCCTTCCTTCCTTCCTTCTTTCCTTCCTTCCTTCCTTTTTTTTGTGTGTATGTTCTGTTCTGTTTTTCAGTTTCAAGACAGGTTTCCCTGTGTAGCCCTGACTGTCCTGGAACTTACTCTGTAGACCAGGCTGGCCTCGAACTCTGAGATCTGCTGGGGTTAAAGGCATGAGCCACCACTGCCTGGCACCTCAGCCTCCCTCTTTTTTCCTTAAACAATTGGACATGATATCGTGTCTTTTTGTTGTTGTTGTTGTTGTTGTTGACAGGGTTTCTCTGTGTAGCTTTGGAGCCTATCCTGGCACTCGCTCTGGAGACCAGGCTGGCCTCGAACTCACAGAGATCTCTGCCTCCTGAGTCCTGGGATTAAAGGCGAGCGCCACCAATGCCTGGAGATATCATGTCTTACATCATGCGTTCATTAGATACTTGGGAACCTGGTTTGTGTCCCGTGTCTCTGACGAACACACTCACTTGCTCTAAGAGCGCTCTGCAGATTCCATGGGATGTTCTGCACAGGCCACAATGTCACCTACAAGTCGAGATGGTGCTTCCCCTTCCATAGGGTGGGGGACACTTCCTGCTGGCCTCCATGGTTTCTGACAAGAGATCTGCACTTATTCCAGCAGGGTTTCTCTCAAGATTCTTTTGTCTCCAGAGCTTTGACTGTGATGTGCTGTGGGTTCCTGGACTCATCCGGTTTGAGGTTCAGTCAGCTTCTAGAACATGTAGGCTTTACCTCTTTCCAGCTGGAGGCAGCGGCAGGTGGGGCAGTGGTGAATCTGTCATTATCTCTTCAAATGTGCTTGGAAGCTTTGAGCCCCATTTCCTTTCTCCTGCCCTCCGGGCTCCAGTGACGTGAATTTAGACCCCCCTCCCCCGTCAGAACCAACCTGTCCTTAAGGCTCCATCCATTTCACCCATTTATGCCTCCCCAGACTGGATAATGACATCAACCCCCCGCCCCATTCTATTGTGAAGCCATTCATGGGTTTTCAAAGTTTCAATTATCATAATTTCCCAGTTCTAAAATAGCTACTGGGTTCCTTTTGATTTTCTCTCTGGGTCTCACTGAGTTCCCCAGAGCAGTCTTCGGTCTTGAAGTCGTGGCTTCAAGCACCTGCCACCTCGGTCTCCCAAGTAGCTGGGACTCTCGGCATGCACTGTGTGTGGCTCTCCAGTCTTTAGTCTTCATGTGTTTCTAATGTATCGATAGTTGCTCACTGGAATTCCTAACACCAGCTTCACCCAGAATCTAGCACCTGTGACTCCGTTCTCTCTCACATAGAGATCTTCCAGGTTGCCTAAGTGATTTTTTTCATTGAAAGCCATCATGTTATGAGACTTAGAGCCTAATTTAAACCTTCCGTTTTTTTCTCAGACTTCCCCTGAGGCCACTCCCAGGGAGCTCTGCTCTAAACTTCTTAGAGAAGAGCTTGCTGTTGCCCTTGTATGCAGATCCTTCCAGGCCTCAGCAGTCATCACCCTGGCCTCGATGACAATCGCACTTGCTTACTACTTACTGTCCAGGTAGCCTCCACTGAGGTCACAAGGGTGCCACCCTGGGTGGCAGGCAGTACAGTGTGACTCTCCATTGGCTTTCTCTGAGGAAGAGCAGGTGAAGCTGGACACAGTCTAGCCAGGGTGAGAGACCCCCTTCCCTAGGCCTAGGCCTGGCCCTGGCCTTCTAACCAATCCCTGGTTGGTTAGAAGTTTCCCATCTTGCTAGGCTGTTCTGTCCCCCGTCTGGTAGCTGGAGTAGGCGGGGTTTCCTGGCCTCTTTGCTGACACCCCAGGTTCCCCACTCTTTCAGCTCCCCTCTGGGAACAGGAGGCTGAAGGAAAACCCAGACCACCCCCTGCCATGTTGCACCTTAGACCTCATGCTTGAGGTTCTTGGCCATCCTGCTCTCTCCTCCCTACCTCCCAGCCATCTTGGGCTTGTTTTGTGGGTTGTATATGGAGTTTTGGACAGAGCAGAGCAGCAGATACAGGGAGGTAGGGCTTCTCCTACCTGACACAAATCACCACTGTTTTGGATAATCTCTGACACAATTTCAACAATTTCAGTGTCCCCCAGCCTTCCTTCCCTTCCTCTTTCTCCCTTTTAAAGTAAGATCTAGGATGTAGAAGACATGGCCTTGGGACAGGGCCTTTGGCTTCGTTACGTTTAGAGGAACTGTAGGTGGGTGGCTGCTGAGCTGTAAGGGCAGATGGGTCACAGCTGCCTGTAAGAGAGCCGCAGATGCCACAGGCATCAGTTCTCTGCTTTCACAGGCGGATGTGGTAGGGCATGACTCGGCGCCACAGGATCACACAGAAGAGAAATGCCAACGTGAAATGACTTTTGAGGATAAAATAGGGGCGCTGGTAGCCCGAGGTGGTGGCACACGCCTTTAATCTCAGTGCTCAGGAGGCAGAGGCAGGGGAACTCTGAGCTCAGGGCCAGCCTGGTCTACAGAGAGAGTTCCAGGACAGCCAGGACTGTTACACAGGTGTCTCGAAAAACAAACACAAAAATGGGGGCGGGGGTGCTGCTGCACTGAATTCACGACTGTGCCTGCAGTACAGGCCGTGCTTTATGTTGCTGGGAGTTAGGTTCAAGCTTTGGTTTGTTGTTGCTGTTTTTAAGCCATTGTATAAAATATAGAAAATGGATTTTAAAGAGGAAGGAAGGAAGTCCTGACACGTTGGTGCATGCCTGTAAATGCCAGCACTTGGGAGGCTGATGTAGGGGGATTACCACATGTCCAAGACCATCTTGATCTGCACAGAGGGTTATAAGTCAGCCCAGATAATAGAAGGAGACCCTGTCTGCAAACCAAACACATAAAATAAAATAGAACACAGTAAGACAAAATAAGCAATCTCTAGAAAGCTGTTAGATGCTGTTACCTGGTTGTCGGGTAAGTTTGCTCAAATTAGGGGTGAGAACAACGTTTGTGGGTGTGACTTGTGGCTCAGAGCCATGTCTGAGACAGCAGACTGAAGTGTCTTACATCCTTTCCCTTGTTCCCTAGCATTCAAGGTGGCAATTCCAATGGCTCAAGAGGAAGACGCTTGTAGCTGCCGATTTCCAGAGGAGGAGGAAGGAGGCGGCTATGAGCTGTGATGTGCCAGCCAGGAGATGTGGGGGGTCCCTCAGGAAAAGTGTGAAGCAGCACAAGGACCCCACTGTCCTTTCTCAAACACCATCCTAGACAATATATAGGCAAGCACCCCCGCCCAAACCTCTTGTAATGCTAAAGTATTTGTCTTTACCACCTTAAAGTTATTTTTATTTTTAAACTTTGTAAGAGTGCTTTGTGTTTTTTCTGCATGCATGTATTGTGTGTGTGTGTGTGTGTGTGTGTGTGTGTGTGTGTGTGTAGTATATGTAAATAGGATGCATGACAATAAGCCATAAGACGCAGTCTGTTTCCCCACCCGGATTCCCCCTGGTTTCTCACTTACTACAACACCTCCCTCCACTGTGTCCCGGGCTGGAAAAGGCCTGTCAGAGTTTGAGGGGGAGCTTCAGAGGAGTTCAAACATCTGCCTGTGTCTTCTCCCTCCCCACACTTGTGCCTGTGTCTCTGTGTCAGGCGCATCAATTAACAGGCCAGGTAGGCACAAAGCATGTGAGGAGGAGGGGAACACCTGTGACCTCACTGGATCCAGGCCTCCACCCCCACCCCACCTCCTCCACGGTCAGACACGCTGCTGCTTGCCTGTGACTTCACTCAAACGAGGCTTCCACCCCCATCCCACTCCCATTCTCACCCCTCTCCCCACCTCTCCCCACCCCCATGGTCAGTCATGGCTGCTTGCCTTTGTATGGCTCCTGTACAGCTCAAGAGCTAAAAATGGTTTTAAATTTTATTCATTTATTTTTATGACACAAGATCTCACTGTGTAGCCCTGGTTTGTCCTGGAACTCACTCTGTAGACCAAGCTGGCCTTGAGCTCATAGAAATCCACCTGCCTCTGCCTCCAGTGTGCTGGAATTCAAACTGTGCACTGCTATGCCCAGCTATCCTTTCAATTTTTAAAAACCACCCCAAAAATATAAAAAAATGGGCTCTTGCAAAATTTGACCCCCCCCCCTCTATTTTTCTCTGATTCCTAGAATCCTTACCGTGGAGTTAGGTGCCCTGTAACTGTGATTTCTACCTCCTGGGTGATTTCAGGCCCATTCTAGCTGTGGCTGTGTCCACTACAAGCCCTTGCTCTGAATGCTTGACTCCCGCCTGGTGGCTGCAGAGCCTTTAGGAGGGGAGCATGGCTGACAGGAGACTTCTGGCAGTCCCTTGATGGTTCTACATATCCCTGGGCTCTGCCTGCTTTCTCTGCTTCCTGATCCACTCAGCATGAAGGAGTCTTCCGCATCTGCTCCTGCTACCGTGAATGCCACTGTGTGCTCCTGGGACCCTGCCTTTCCACCATGACGGACCAAAATCCCCCTGAAGCCATGAGCCTAAACAAACCCTTCCTCTCTCAGACTGTTCTCTTGGGTGTTCTGTCTCAGCAACACTGTGAACAATGTGTGTGTCCTCTGGGAGCTGTCTCTCTGGGACCTGGGTGGAGGGAGTGGCTTCTGCCAGGAGTGTTGTATATCTCTGGCAAAGGGGGACTTGTCACTTCAGACTGTGTGTGACTGGTTAGTTAGGTGCTAACCTTTGCAGCCAGGCTGGTAGCTAAGCCATACAATAAATAACTAGGTGGGCATGGTGGCACATGCTCTCCCGAGGGTTGGTCTCCTGCACGCTGCTGCTGACATCTTGCTACCCTCCAGCTGCTTTGGTGGCTGACACCCTCCCTGCCCTCGGCTGTTAGCCGATTCCCTTCTCTTGTCAGTTTGGTGGTGTGATGGCATTTCCTGTGGTCCTGCTTTGCCTTTCTTTCTTGACTGATAAGCGTCCTGTCATATAGTCATACACTGTTTGATCCTTTCAAAAGAAAGATTTAGCTGGGCACGCTAATGCACGCCTTTAATCCCGGCACTTGTGAGGCAGAGGCAAAGGTAGAGGCAGGTGGATCTCTGTAAGTTCGAGGCCAGCCTGGTCTACATAGAGCGTTCCAGGACAGCTGGGGCTACACAGAGAGACCCTGTCTCAAAAAAATGAAATAAATAAAATTGAAAATAAATGAAATAAAAAGATCTACTTATTTTTATTTCTGATGTGCCTATGTTTATGTACATCACATGCATGTCATGTCCACAAAGGCTACAAGAGGGCACTGATCCCCCTAGGGTTACAGGAGGTTGTGAGTTGCCCCACAAGGATGCTGGGAACAGAACCCACCTCTGTCCTCTGTAAGAGCAGCCAGTGTTCTTAACACAGAGCCATCACTCTGTCCTTGTGTTTCTTCTCAAATAAATAAAATATTCGCTCATTTCCCCCATTAAAAATAACTTGCCCTTTTCTTATAAATTTGTAAAAAGAATCTTTATAAATTTTAGACAATAAACCCTGGCCAAGGCAAAGCTGGATGGTGCAGCACACACCTTTAATTCCAGCACTCAGGATGTAGAAGCAGGCAGATCTCTGTGAGTTCAAGGCTACCCTGGTCTACATAGTGAATTCCAGGAAAGTCACCTTGAGAAACTCAGTCTTGAGAAAAAAAATTCAAAATCATTGTCCGTTATCTTAGTTTCTTTTCCTGTTGCTGCAATAAAGTCCTCTGACAGTGCTGGTGAGATGTCTCAGCAGGTAAAGGTACTTGTCACCAATCCCAACAACATGAAAGGGGAAAACTGACACCCATATATGCCCTAAGTTCAAACATATGCCTGAATGTGCATGCACACAGAAATAAACAAACAAGTATAATAAAGGTAAGAAGTAAATAAAAGATGAGCCCAACAGCCTGGCTATAAAAGCTGGAAGAAAGACTTGCCATAGGTGTGGCGTGTAAATAAAGCATTGTAATTTGCACCAATCACTACACAGCTTTCAGTTCCAGCAGAGGTCTTGCAGAAACACCAATCACAGGGCTCTTGTTGCACCAGTCACTAACTCTCTGCAGAGCCTCCAGCGTTGACTGACAGTGCTCCCTCAGGTCCCTGTGAGTGAAAATGGCTGATGGGAGAGCTGGGTCACCTGTTTATAGATGCTAATCTTGGAGTGTGTCTTCCCAGCCCAACACACGGCCTGAGGGGCAGCCATGCCTGGAGCAGGGATCCAAGCTCAGCTGCAGGGGCCCTTACAGCTGGGGCAAAGGGTTCCTCAGAGTGTGAGGGGCGATCTGAACATACCTGGGCTGTCTTAGAGGCAGTGTGGTTGTCTGCCAAATGTTTTCTCGAAAAGCTGGTGGTTATTTCAAGAGAGAAAAGCACTTTATATGTAAGACAAGCACTCTGTTTTGTTTTTGTTTTTCAGGACAGGGTTTCCCTGTGTAGCTTTGGAGGCTGTCCTGGAACTCGCTCTATAGTTTTTCAGGACAGGGTTTCCCTGTGTAGCTTTGGAGGCTGTCCTGGAACTCACTCTATAGTTCAGGCTGGTCTCAAACTCACAGAGATCCACCTGCCTCTGCCTCCCAAGTGCTGGGATTAAAGGAGTGCGCCACCAACGCCCAGCAAGATCAGCACTCTTGAATGTGTCTACTGCGCTGTCAAATGTCCTCAGGGTGAGCAGGGTCCTTTACTTACTGGTCTTACAGTTTTGTTAGAATTAAGATTTATTGTAGTATCTACTATGTAAGATGTGCATGTGTGTACAGGTGCTCTCGGAGGCCCGGGGGCGGCACCAGATCCCCTGGGGTGGGGTTACAGGTGGCTGTGACCACTCAAACCCAGAACAGCTGCAGGACCAGCATGAACTCTTAGCCACTGAGACTTCCCCAGCCCCCTTTAGCATTTTGGAAATTTAGAAAAATTTCTAAGACTTTTGCTTTGTTGTCGCCTTTGAATGGTTTGCTTTGTTGCTGGAAGTTGAGCTGTGGTTGGTGTATTCAGCTGCCTCTTGGACAGTCTTTTTAGTGTTAGTCATGTCTGATAAGTAGATACATTCTTTCCCCCATTGGCGGTCAGTTTGTTTATGATGACAGTGGTCTCTTCCTTTTCTAGTTCCTTGTTTCTCACCTTTGACAGAAGTGCTAGGACTTAATTCAATATGATAGCCTTTTCTTCTCTTACAGAGCAAATGTAAGATTCCTTGATCAGGCTAACAAAGTTCCCTCCCGTTCCTAGTTTGTGCAGAAAATTTTTTCTTCATCTTTGTCCTCTTTTTCTTTTTTGGGGGCCGGAGGGCATTTAGGAAATAGGAGGTCACATGGCCCAGGCTAGCCTTAAACTTGGTAGGAAGTGTGATGAATTCCTGATCCTCCTGCCTCAGCTTCTCAAGTGCTGGAATTACCTGTGTGCGCCACCATTGCTGGATCTTATTCAGTTTTTGAGAAAGGCTACATATCCATGTACGCGTGGCTTCCTGGCACTCGCTCTGTAGACCAGGCTGGCCCCAAACTCACAGAGATCCGCCTGCCTCTGCCTCCAGAGTGCTGGGATCAAAGGTGTGCGCCACTAACGCCGGGAAGTTCTTATTTTTCCTAACGAATGTTTGTTTTGTGTCAAGTTTGTTACCGGGCTGGGACTTCCAGGATCAAGGATCTTCTTGCCTTAGCTTTCTGAGTGGCTGAGACAACAGATAAATCACCTACTTGGAAACCCTGCATCTCTTGCCTTTGGGCACTTGTGTCCTGGTCTGTGTGTGCCACTCATCACATTCAATGGGGCCTCTGACTTGATCAGTGTGGTGCATCTGGGTAACCGAGTTAGACTCATTTGTTTCTAACTAGGAACACAGGGAACATATGCTTTCGGGATGGAGGCTGTGTTGGCTGCCGCTCTCATCCCTGTGACAAGCACCTCAGAGGAGCTGAGTGGAGGGAAGGTTTGCTTTGCTTCTGTGTCCCAGAGGAATCCAGGCTATCGTGGTAGGGAAGACACAGCAGCGTGAGTGACCCGTCCTTGGCAACGGTGGGAGTATGTTACAGTGTTTCTCAGGCACTGGTGAACAGGAGGCTAGACCGTCAGCAGAGGCTGGTACAATCTTCAAAGGCCCTTCCTGAATGGCCTACGTCCCCTAGCTATGTCCCAGCTCCCCAAGTTCTCTAATCTATGGGAACAGTACTACTGTGGACCAAGTGCTCAGGACATGTACCTGTATGGAACATTCCAGATTCAAACCACAGCAGTATATTTTGGCATTGTGTGTAAGTAAATGGAAAACATAGGAACCTGGGATATGAGTCACTGTCTCCTCAGTAGATAACAAAAAGAAAAAAGAAAAAGAAAAGAAAAGAAAGAATAT